TATTTTATTGTACTATGTATACTGGTGTCTTTCCATATATATTTAATGTTTCACTAATGTTTTATGTTCCATTACTGCCAGCCCGGCTGTTAGCTAGTACATTTTAACGATAGTTGACAGTCAAGTCAGCTGTTGGAGCTTTAGAACACTATATAGCATTGTGAATTGCCAGTCAGTTAACGAGGTAGTTTGTGGTGAATATCAAATAATAATTGCTCTTCATGTATATAACAATACCATATAGTCAGTCGTGCATCAGCCTCGCACCCTGGTAGTCACGCAAGTCTAATGTCTCTCCCGTTTGCCCAGGTATATAGTCTCTTGTAAATATATATATGAATATATATTCTTGTAATAGATTTTAGGGCCAGAGCCGGGTGCTTCCTTCAAGTACCTATATCAACATGGTGCAATGAGCATTTTTTTCAGGATCTGTGTGCCTTATGAGAGAGACGAACTTTGTGCAATCAGCATACTCATCCGGATTATTGCTCACTCTGCTTCTTACCGCCCTTTTTCTACTGCACAATGGCTGATTCTCCTTCTACCCGTTCTGGAGACTCCGCACATTCCCTTGACGAATTGCGTGACTTTCTTCACTTTCTCACCTCTCTTCATGAGGAATATGAGGGAAAAATGACTCATTATTAGGCAGAGTTTGCTGCATACTTCCTCCCACCACTGCTAACTCCCAACGTTGCTGCCACACAGGATAATAGCAGTGATGTCCTTCAAATTCTGAAGTTTCTACAAGAGTCTGAGCAATGTAGACCTTACCAGGACGAGGTTCGTAGGAAAGCTGATGACTTATGATGCTAGGAGAAAAATTAAAGACCTATGGCACTTCTACAGAGGATATCACACATGTGAAGTGACACAGCTCACCTGCCCACAGCTCTCCCACCCACAAAAGCTGTATCTATCCACCACACAACTTTGATACACTTGTCTGTTATTGTCAATTCCCAGGTTACATCAGTACCTCATGCAACCCACAGTCCTCCTATTCATCCGTCTGACACACCTGTTTCCTCGGCTATGTCCATGGCTTCTCCTCCTCCTCCAAACACATCAGTGCTACAAAGCTCACCTACCCTGCAAGCTGATGACACATTTAAAGTTTTATGCCACTGGTTTCGGAGGTGGCACGGCCTTCAGAAATTGCCAAGAGAGAAACATCTCATACAGCTCCGCATGTGAATCTCCCTTGACTTACAAAATGTTCTGGAGTAAACACTTGGCATCCCTCCAGACACTTCTCTCACTGTGGACGAATTCCTTAACTGTTTGCAAGATTACTTCAAGAATATCAGGAACGAAGCCACTCTACGTCGGGACCTACTTTGCTGTAAACAAGTTGCTTCTTCCCGCAACAACATTATGGGACTTCTCTCTCCATGAGTTCAGAGACTTCCTAGTATCAAAGGTGGCCCACCAGGCAGTTCCACTCAAGAATATGGTAGGTTGCCTCATAAAGATTCACCTGAAAAATGACACTGTTCCCATCGCCATTCACACGCCTCGGCCGATCCCCTTTGCCTTTCGGAATCAGGTGAAATAAGAGCTTGACCCGATGGTTAAGCAAGGGATCATTGAACCTCCAGGTGATCAGCCTTCTGAATGGTGCCACCCTATGGTCCTGTTGGCTAAATCTTATGGCATCCACATCACAGTGGGCTTGACTAAGTTGAACAGTCAAAAATCCCGCACTGCACATCCCTCTCCTATGCCGTTCTCCACCATCTGCATCGTCACACCGTCTGCAGAGCTTTTCACCACTGCGGATGCTCTAAATGACTACTGGCAAATGGAACTCACCGAGGATGACCGGCACTTCACCAGTTTCATCACGCCATACAGCAGGTTAAAGCATTGCAGTGGACTCATGGGTTTTGCTGCCACAGGCGACGCCTTCTGTCTTTGAGGTGACACGCTCTGCAGGGTATTACAAACAGCGTCAAGGTCGTGGATGACATCCTCCTATTTGATGAGGACTTTCCTGCACATCTACAGAGGATTCACCATATGCTGATCAGGTGTCATGAGCATGGCATCACCTTAATCAAGGACAAGTTCATCTTGGCTGCCCCTACTGTGGCTACAGTCTCAGCAGAGATGGCATTTTCATGGACGCATATAAGGTTAGTGCCATCTATGACTTTCCCAAGCCTGCTAACCACGACTGATCTACATTCCTTCATTGGGTTGGTGAATCAACTGGAAGAAGTCATCATAGACAACACAGCATCAAGAAAGCTCTGCTCTCACCACCTGTCCTGGTGCCCTTCGACCCAGCCTTGCTTGTTGTACTTCAAACTGATATCTCACGTCTCTATGAGATTGGTTACGCCCTTTTCCAGGATAATGGGCAAAGCTGAGACCCAATACGCCACCATCGAACTAGAACTGCTAACCGTTGCCTGGTCCATGTCCAAGTGCAGAATGTACCTGTGTGGTCTGCTCCACCTCACCCTCATGACAGATCACTACCCATAGATCCTATTCTCAAGTCCTACACCTTGCATGCAGTTGAGAATCCCCATCTCTAATGACTGAAGGAGAAGGTCTCGCCCTACATCATTACGGTCTTGTGGTGCACCGAGATGCAGCTCTGTATCCCTGATGTACTCTCCAGAGCCGCAGTTAGATGGCCCATGCCTGAGGATGAGACTGAGTGTGACGTGCAAAGCATCGTTACCTACCAAGGCATCACCACACTAGACGAGTCATCACCTCCTACAGAATTTGACAGGACTGTTCAGGGGCTCCAAGCCGCAGCAAGAGCAGACCTTGCCTACAGATGTCTCCTCACCTGCGTGTCTTCCAGACTCCCTTCAGACCACTTTGACCTACACAGATCTATCCGCCCATACTGGAAGATACGGGAAAGTCTCTACACTGATGGGGAGCTGGTTCTGTATGGTCAGCTGATTGTTGTTTCTGCTGCCGTTCAGTGCCGTACACTTGCCCGCCTCCATGACACCCATTGTTGAACAGAAACAATGAAGCACCAAACTAGGCAGATTGTGTTTTGGCCAGGCATTGACTCCGATATCAAGAATACTGTCTCTGCCTTTGAGTCATGCCAGGTACTCCAACCTAGCCAGCAGCAAAAGCCACTCCTATGTGATGACCACCCTACGAGGCCTTCCGAGTCTGTCTCCACAGATTTCTTCCAGGTTACAGGGAAATAATTCCTGGTAAATGCAGACAGATTATCAGGTTGGCCTGTGGTCTTACCCTGTGTACCCAACACGACGTCTTCAAGAGTTGTTGGGATGCTTTGCAGATACTTTTGAGAAGGTGGTTTTTCCCTCCACCTCAGAATCAATGGAGCCCCATCGTTTAACTGCTTTAACTTCTGGAACTTCATGGAACGATGGTGTGTTTACCATTTGACATCCTTGCTCCACTATCCCCTATCAAATGGACATATCGAGGCAGCAGTCAAGTCTGTAAAGCACCTCATTTTGAAGACACCATCCGATGGAAACAGGGGTCTCCTAGGGCTGTGCAACATCCCTACGTCTGCAGGTCGATCTCCCACCCAGGTGCTGTATGGCCGCTCCCTCTGCTCCAGTGCCTCGGCCCAACCAGAGTCTTTCTCCAAGGAATGGCAATCCTAGACCAAGTACTGTGATCACAGAGCTGCCACTTGTACTGAGCAAGTCAAGCATCAGTACAATTTCCATGCCTGTCCCCTTGTCAAGTTGACCGCCAGCCAGCATGTCTGAATTCAAGACCCAATGTCACACTGTTGGAACAAGATTAGAATAGTTATGGGCTGCGGCAGGTTTAGGGAGTATGAGGTACATCTTCCCAGTGGATGAGTCTGGTGGCGGAATCGTCGACAACTCCGTCCAGTGCCCTCTTCTAGTGTTGACCCTTTCCCCCATGTACCTGTTGCCTCTTGCTCGGCATTGAAAGTCCTGTAGATAATCCCCCAGTGTACCACGTCAATCAGCTCAACTCATGGAAAAGAGAGCCTGTTCATAATGATGACATGAACATAAGGGGGAGGGGAGCCATGGATATTTGAATGAACATACATATGGACAAACAGTGAGTGTTCGAAATTACAGGCAGACTTTAATGCATGTGCATATTTTACTGTGCTATGTATATTGGTTTCTTACCATGAATATATAAATTTTCACACATGTCTTGTTCCATTACTGTCAGTTCAGCTGTTAGCTAGTACATTTTACTGATATGTGATGACCAATTCTGCTGTTAGAGCCTTAGAACGATATATGGTATTGTGAACAAGCCAGTTAGAGAATGGGGCAATTTGTGGTGAACAGAGAATGATAAGTTTTCTTCATGTGTAATGCAATACCATATAGTCAGTCATGCATCAGCCTCACGCCCTGTTAGTCATGCAAGTCTAGTGTCTCTCCCGTTTGCCCAGATGTATAGTGTCTTGTAAATATATATGTATATATATATTCTCGTAATAGACTTTAAGGACAGAAAAAAGTGTTTCCTTCAAGAATCTATATCAATAGGGGCCACGATGGACATAATAATATAGATTGACTAAGATAGGAAGTGTTCTTTCACATAGGATAGAGCAACAGAGTCTAGTTAAGTGGGTGTTGAGGGGGAGAAATAAATGAGTGCACTGACTGGTGGTTGGATGGGGAGGGGGAAATATTGAGATTAATGGGCGTAGGAGCATCCCTCCATCCGTGTAGCATCAGTACATGTTCCAGGACACTCTGTGAGGACCAATGGACTAAGCTGTGGAGTTCTAGTCTAGAGTTCCAAGGTTAGTTTCCCGACAAGGAAGTGAGATTACTTGAATACATATAAAGATGCGTAATTGCAATGCATTCTTTACACCATTTAATTTGCCTTGGGTGTTGAGGAGGAGAATTAAATGTGCACACTGACCACTGGTGAGTTGAAAAAGGGGAAAATCGGAGATTAACGTGAGAAATGGCGTCCCTCCGTCTGAGTAACATCAGTAGATGTATCAGTTCCTTATTTTTTAAACAGTCTTTGTTGCTCTGTGGGCTAAGCTTTGGAGTTCTATTCTAGAGTTCCCAGGTTCAATTCCTGACAAGGAAGATAGTTTATATGAAAACAATTAAATTTGCGTAATTGCATTGCATTTGTTCTATCAGTAATAATAATAATAATAATAATAATAATAATAATAATAATAATAATAATAATAATAATAATAATAATAATAATAATAATAAAAATGTTGTTGTTCCGGTTTTACGTTACGGACTCCCTTTTGTACCAAGGGCTAGGACGGTTGCCTTCTTGCGAAGTACTTGTTTTGGCAGGTGTAATGATAATAATAATAATAATAATAATAATAATAATAATAATAATAATAATAATAATAATAATAATAATTATAATAATAATAACAATACTACTACAATTATTACTATTACTACTACTAATAATAATAACAATACTACTACTACTACTACTATTACTACTACTACTACTACTACTACTACTACTACTACTATTACTACTACTACTACTACTACAATACTACTACTACTACTACTACTACTACTACTACTACTACTACTACTACTACTACTAATAATAATAATGATAATAATAATAGTAATAATAAAAACAACAATAATAATAATAATAATAATAATAATAATAATAATAATAATAATAATAATAATAATAATAATAATAATAATAATAATAATAATAATAATAATAATAATAATAATTATAATAATAATAACAATACTACTACAATTATTACTATTACTACTAATAATAATAATAACAATACTACTACTACTACTACTACTACTACTACTACTACTACTACTACTACTACTACTACTACTACTTCTAATAATAATAATAATAATAATAATAATAATAATAATAATAATGATAATAATAATAGTAATAATAAAAATAATAATAATAATAATAATAATAATAATAATAATAATAATAATAATAATAATAATAATAATAATAATAATAATAATAATAATAATAATAATAATAATAATAATAATAATAATAATAACAACAATAATAATAAATTAAATCAAAGGCAAATTTATTAATTTTTATGCAGCAGCATAAATACATAAAAAAACTGCTATTCTACCTCAGTTCTTCTGTTGTAGTTAGAAATCAAACCTGGCCCTCAAAAGCAGAAAACTGGATTCTCTCCTACATGACTCTAGGGCTCTATTTATTCCTTTCTGTTTCTCAACGCCAGGGTTCGATTCCCTGCCGTATGGGTGATATTACATTTCAAAATGTACCATTGGAACTGGTAATATCCTCTTTTTGTCTTTTCAGATGTTTTGGTTAAATTCTGATTTAGATGAGTGATATGCCTAATTGTTATAATTTCTTTTTCCTTCAGAGAGGAGCATTGGGGCCCCTGGAACCAAGAGGGCTTCCAAAAAAGGAGAAAATCCTTCCCCAATATTTAAAGAAACTTGGCTACTCTACGCACATGGTTGGAAAGTAAGTGAAAATATCTTAAATCATGGCTAGCAAATTAAAATAATGGTTGCTCTCAAATAACTAAATAAATAAATAGACAAATAAATAAATAATATCACAACCATCTTTCTAAAGTATCACCTTTCTATTTCATGCATTATTTTGAATATTCATAATGTTCAGTGAAGGTGGATGAGTTATATCTAAGTAAGGAGTTGTGTCCTTAACCTTCCTGAGATAATTCTCTCTAACTCGATATTATATAAGGAGGGAGAATCGCCAAGACTTTTAACAATGTTGCACTTAACGATAAACTATCGTAGTTTGGCATGATGTTAGGTAAGCGCATCAGAGTATCAAAAAAGACCGCATGCAAGTTGGCCATGCTACACTCAGGGTTATTTGTGCATAAACTCCAATGTGGCCTCCGACACAAAAACAGAATTCTGTACTTCAACCCATGTTAACATATAAGCTTTGTATACTCCCACTTTTTCTAGATTTTATGTCACGAGGAATCCAGTTTTTAAGTTACTTTTTTCTGGTCATTTTCATGCTCAAAGGCAATTATCAGTGAAAATATTAGATTAAATTGCAGTAATTCTCTAAATGGCATAAACTTCACATTGAATTCCAAAAATGTAGCTCCACCCTCAATGAATACCTTTTTCATATTAATGGGCATCACAAACAATCATTATGATCAGCTATTCAACTAGTGAGCATTATAGAAGAATTTCTAAGTAAAATATTCATAATTTCAGAATTTATTTACGTAGAAGATACATGGATCTAATCCATGTATAAGTATGAGAATACCACTAACAACCTTCATTCAGAGCTTTATAGCCATATCAGTAACACACTTTTTTCCCCTACGTAATTTTGATACTTAAAAAAAGAGAGCAAATTAAATGCCACATACTTCTGGAGTTCAGAATTTCTATTTAACATAGACATATCTATATTGCCGACATGAATTACATGTATGAGGAAATACGTAATAATTGAACATTCTAAAAATTATATATTTCTTGAAAAATAATATTTATACTTAAAGAACAATCTGTCTTTATTGCACAGTTTGCTACAGAATAAAGTTCACCAAGTTCATTGGCATAATTTCTCTTACAGACAAGTAGACGTTCGAGAGAGAGAGAAGATCACGCTTTATTGACACATGCTAGATCAGTACAGCAAGGAAAGGGAATTATTTTTTTTCTTGTTGAGTGGACCTAGGTAGCATAGTGGTGAGAGCTCTGCAATGGAATCCATCGCGGTGCCTGAGTATGCGTATTCAACCTTAATTCTCTAGCTCCAACCTATTAGTGTCCACCCATATATTGGAGATTAATAGTGAAGACCGTAATTGAAGGTGGTGGCTCGCTTCACACTTACACACAGCTCAATAGGATACCAGCGTGATGAAATTTATTTCTGCTTTCGTAGGCAATAACAGAGCCATAGTGAAGGAACAGTGTGTAGCAATCACAAAGTCATAAAAAAGCTGACAGTAGCATCCTAAGGGATATTATGATTAAAAGTTGAGAGGGTCACCCCAATCTTTTCATGAGGTACATGGTTAATCAGGGATTTGGGGGTGCCATGAAATTCAGTGCAACCCAAATTCATCAGTGATATGAACTCCGTAGGTAGTGGAGATTTCATTTGAAGAGACAGTGATTCTAACCTCAGCATATTGCACTAATACAGCTAGGGTGAGAGCCATCCCCATATTTGTCACTCGGTCATAATTATTAGGCTTCTGTAGCTGGGTCTAAATTGGCATCCGAGAGTGTATGGATGGGCTAGCAATTACGATCTAAGTTTCAGAAGGTACCCTTCAGAATTTAAATGGGTTTACATTTGCCCTCTCAAATGGCACTTAGATTTCCTTTGCTGAATATATTCATCACCTTTGGAGAGCTCAGTGGTTTTAAGGATTTGCAGAAGTCCTGATAAATTAATTTTAACCTCCAACCTTTTCAGATGGCATTTAGGATTCTGTAATTGGAGATATACACCCACCTACAGAGGATTCGATTCATTTTATGGTTTTTATACGGGATCACAAGATTATTTCACCCACAAGAGGAACCAAAAACCTGACCGTGAGAGAAGCGTAAGATTAAAAGTAAGAAATGAAAGACTGGCGAAGAGAATTAAAAACAAGAAGAAAAAAGGTAAGCTAAGAGGGCTTGAATTTCAGAAGGGTGAAAGGTGTGCAAGAGGAGGAGTGAGTTGAGAGCGGAATCGCGCTAATACAGTGGTAACGCGCTGGCTTCGCATTCACGAGGACGAGAGATCAGTTCCCGTCCAAGACCGAGAGTTTAAGCTGTTTACTAGCAGGTTACTGTTGTGGCTGGGCACCACAGTGGGGGGTTGGGGCTTGCCCCGGCTGACTAATACCCATTGTATAATGGAAATAAAGGTTTATTATTGCTATTGTTATTATTGTTTTTATTCTTCTTCTTCTTCTTCTTCTTCTTCTTCTTCTTCTTCTTCTTCTTCTTCTTCTTCTTCTTCTTCTTCTTCTTCTTCTTCTTCTTCTTCTTCTTATTATTATTATTATTATTATTATTATTATTATTATTATTATTATTATTATTATTATTATTATTATTATTATTATTATTATCATTATTATTATTACTATAATTATTATTATTGATGAGCCCCTGACTAAAGGGGACAAACCTAAGGCTTGTGCCTGGAATATTTCACTATGAATGGAGTGCATATGCGTGAATGTTATCGAATGGTGACGATCATAAACAAACAAACAAACGAACATTTATTTCCATTTCTGTACAATGGTTATTCTAATATAATTTAAGAGTAATTTATAAGTAGACATGTAGTTGAACTAATAAGTAAGAGGGTAATACAGTTAAATTAAATATGGTTTTCCTAGAAAATAATAATACTGTAATAAAAATGTTAACGATAATGTTAATAACTAAAGTAGTAATAATAACACTCGATACAGGATCATTATTATCGGCATCATCATCATCATATTTGTTTTCCTTACAATGAGAATAATTACTTCTTAACTCAGAGAACAAAGAAGGCGATATCAATTTACATATAGAGAGGTTAGTGTTAAGGGAAATTGCATTAAATCATTAAGTTTAGTTAATGTTTGAGCAGCAACTATTTGCCCAAAATAAAACTATATAGTTTGCCTTTGAAAACTGTGAGGGAGAATGAATTTTTAAGATGCTCTGGAATATTGTTCCAGAGTGTTGGCCCTTTAATAGTGATCATCTTTGAAGCTGTTTCTGTGTTTGCTCGCTGAATAAAGAGCTCATTACTCTGTCTTGTGTTGCTTCCCCTTATATCCCTGACTGTTTTTAAATCAAATAGCCAGCTAGGATAATGATGGTTCAAAATTTTGTATACAAAAACATAAATAGCATAAGAGACCTTGTTTTCTGCCCCCAGCCACCCAAGTTTTTTTGAGAGCTGGTGTGATGTGGTCATATTTTCTTATTCCTCCCAGGGCAACTCCAGCTGCAAAATTAATAAGCTTCTCTATTCTGTTTATTTGAGTCTTAGTGGTAGCTCCCCAAACAGTTGTGCAGTAATTAATGTGACCTAGGGCT